GCCAACCCCCCTCCCCTCCCCCCTACCAAGTAAGTGCCCGCTAGTTACCTGGTGGATTCTATGTCAATTGTTTAGTAAATCCTGCATAATGAGCTTACTGTATCAAGGCGGGTGACTTGACCCAAGTGTGGTTAAACTCACGGGTCCTAGTGGGGGGCCTCGTGACTCGGTTGGTTGAAATAAAGCCTCCCCCTTGCTGGCCTGAGTTCAAATCCCACAGAATTTTTCACAAGTGGGTCAAATTCGAAACAGCAAGCCCCCGGGGCCATAGCCGCTAATCCGAACTTTCTACTCAGTGACCTCTGCAACCATCGCGGAATGACCGTCTTCCCTAGCTCGCAGGATTACCTACAGAGGAGTAGCCTCTACCGTACCTAACTGCGTTCCAGGCAAGACCGTTTTGCGAACCTTGTGAGAACGAAGAGCAACTGCTAATCGAGAAGTACTACGGCGTTTCGACATGAGTACCCTCATCCGCCAGATATACCCAAAGGTCAATCAACGATGACGAGAGATTTGAAACAGGACTCCGGCGACTTTAAGCCCAAAATCTCACTAAAACGGAAGGGGTCCACGCCCAACCCGCTGCAGTCACTAAGAGGGACCGTTAAGTTAACTGGCACTCCGAATTCTCTTGAAAATGACTTTCGGAGTTATTTGGTGGTAATCAGGAGTGGCGTAAAAAAGTTGCCCGACAACAGTTGACAGTTTTCCTGTAATAATAATAATCATAATGAGAGATGAATACAAAGTATATTTGCGCCTATCAGCAAAAGATGTGATTTTTTTCGCGGAAAAAAATTAAACAATCTACTGAAAATCAGAATAGGTGGGCTGTACAAAAATAAACTCTGGTATGGAAAATGAAGATATGTGGGTAAGAAAGGATGATTCAGCAGTAGAGATCGCGGAGTGCAGGGGGTAGTATCACAGGAGGCCGCTCGCGAGAACGCGATCGAAAGAGTTGGTTAAGTTGGACAAAAGCTGACGCTGTTCGTCAGTCATATCGGGACTGAATACGGAATTCCAGAGATCGGGAGATGACAGTTCTTCAAAAATGAAGTTAATGCGTTTTATAGATTTCTCGCTGAGGACACGTTTAGCGAGATAAAGCAGGGCATGTTGCATTCTTTGGAGCACATCGTTGAGCGCATCGACGTCGAGGGGTTTTTCGCGACGCGAGAAGGCAAGAAAGAGGAGGATAAATTGTTTGGTCAGCGCCTCTATGCGACACACGGCTGTCATTTCTGCCACTGAGGCCTCATATTCCTGAGCCACCACACCGATCTTGATTATCGTTCGTAGGATGGCCCTATCGAGTTTGAGGAAGCGCTCCTTCGATGGCATGTGTGCCTGTGGACGAGTGAAAGGTGGGGTAGTAGTCGATCAAATATCAAAAGTAAATGGGTCAGTCAGAGAGACATTAATGAGACAGGAAGAGTCGACGACCTGCTCCAGCAGGGACTCGACAGGGTTTCTCTATGGGGTACTCTACGAACATCATAACA